GCAGCCAGGAGTGCCCTGGGGSRCATCAGGCACAGCATCRCCAGCCTGGCAGGGGACGGGATTGTCCCACTCTGCTCTGCATTGGGGCAGCYTCACCTCGAGTGGTGGGGGCAGCTTTGGGTGACACAGTATAAAAGACATTTTTAGAGAATATCCAAAGTGGGGCCWTGAGGATGGTGAAGGCTCTGGAGGAGAAGCCATATGAGGAGTGGCTGAGGTCAGTTGGTCTATTCARCCTGGAGGAGACTGAGGGGAGAGCTCACTGCAGTTACAGTTTCCTCAGGAGAGAAAGAGGAAGGGCAGGCACTGATCTCTTCTCTGTGGTGAGCAGGGAATGGCCTGAGGGAATGGCCTGAAGTTGTGTCAGGAGGTTTAGGTTGGATACCAAGAAAGTGTCTTGACCCAGAAGGTGTCACACWCTGGAACAGACTCCCCAGGGGAGTGGTCAAGCTTGACAGAGTTCAAAAAGCATTTGGACAACGCTCTCTGACTCTTGGAGTGCCCTGTGCAGGGCCAGGAGCTGGACTTGATGATCCAGATGGGTYCCTTCCAACTCAGAATATTMGATGATTCTGTCATGATTTAATATCCCATAGCCCACATAGCTCACTCTGTGAGCCATGGCAGGGGATGATTTATTTWACAGGGAACTGGAAAAATACATGATTTTATATGGATGCACTTTGAAAATACTTGCCAAACAATATTAATAATGGAAGGGGAAAATACTGGTAACACCATTTTCAAGAAGGCTTAGTCCTAGAATGCCTTTATATTAAATATAGATATTGATGCTTATGCATATTAAATTATAAATGGATAAMTTTATCATTAAAAAAAGCTACTACTTCTTCCTTTGTTTCTGTGCAGAGTCTTCTGTGGAATTTGGATCCAAGTAAGGAACTGTGAGKTTATTTTAAGAATCTTTTTTAGATATCAGAAAGAAGAAATATTAAAGGAAATAATGCATGCATGCATGCAGTGGACTTGATTCCCCTCTGACAATAAATCAGAAAGAACTACAGTGGAAAGTCAATGTAGATGAGGGCGAAGATCAGGCACTTGAAATCAGTTAGACTGCTTCCAGAAATGTTAAGACAGGGAGAAGACAAACAGAGATATCACTATTTTATGCCATTGAATCTATGATTAATAATGATTGAAATAGTTTTTATTACTACTTGTGTGCATTACAGTAGTGCCTCTAAGGCACTGTACAACATCTAGCAAGATAATATTTTTTGCCCCAGCCACATCCAATCTAAACAAAAGGCCCTTGGCACAACAGAAACCACCTTATTGTCCTCTGTCACTTGGTGCAGAGAAATGTAAGAAAATACAGGAAATAATTTGCCAAACTTGCACTGGAGACTGAGAAAGGGACACCTGTCTACTTACTGGGTATACTGCATTTAGCTACACTTATGCACAATGTTCAGACTTGGGCTGTGCACAGAGCCGTGCCCCCAGATGGGCCCTCAGTGAACTCAGTGTGCACTCAGTGAACAGGAGTCCTCCTATTGCTTGGCCAGAGAAGAAATAATCCCATTGATTGAAATCTTGCAGCAGGAACTGGCMCCAAGACCATATTAAAGAACAGTATGATGGCCCTGTGCAGATATGAGGTCAACATGGACAAGACTACCTGATCTTTTTTATAAATATTTGCTTTTTATTTTCATCTGATAAATGAAAACTGTTGAAAGATTCTATGTTGTCCTGTCTTTTTAGGCTGGAATCTCCTTTCAGACAAAATAATTTATTCCAATTGTCAAAGCTCATCAGACTCTCAGCATGAGTCTTGCATAAATGGGTTTATTCCTGGCTGTTTCATTTGCACACTCCATGAAATTTTTTTCCACCTATTTAATTTCATCAAAACTTTCTTCACAGACCCTAGCAAACTTGCTGTCAAGTTTCTCTTCCTTATGTTCCTGTGGGAAAAAACTAGGGTAAACCACAATTTATTTTAATAATTACTACGATTWAAAAAATGACCATTTTAAAATGCTTTTCCTGAAATAGGAAGAATATGAAAGCATATGACAAATAAAGCAATAAAGCTGTGCTTATAGGTAACAGATAGTAAAGGGCTCCCAGCTTGGATATGCACTCGCTGTTTAAAATCTCCCATGGTAGAATTTGTAACATGCAGTGTGCTACAACAGTGGTGTAAAATACTCCAGTGAATTTGCATCATCTGGGAATATTACTATGGCATCATTGTTGTTACTTCTCTAAAGAAAATGCCCCTCTGTTGCGAGAAAACACATCAAGTGGTGAATGTGATGAACAGGTTAGTGCATTGAATGCAGCTGTCTTGTCCTTGTCCAGCCTTCTGTAGGGCAGTCAACATGACTTCAGCTGCAGCACATCCTCTGAGACCTCCTTGGCTTAAAGACCACAGCAAGGTAAGAGCTTTAAGCCCAGACAGAACTAAAAAGGCTGCTGTGATCCTCTCCTGCCATTATGCTCATTTGTTTTTATTAATGTAAGAATTAGGTATTTAAGAAGTTTTCACCTTGGGGAAAGAACCAACTAGAAAATATGAASAATTGCTAAATAAAAATGAAAGTTTAATTTCACAAAGTCGATGGTATCTCATGGTAGATGCTGTATATCATTTGTATTTGCTTGAAAAAAGATTGCTTCTGTAATGGCCTGTTCCTGAAGCACATCCAGAAGGAGAATACAAACAGAGCTGCCTCAGAAGCTGACACAATCAGAGAAATATTTTAAACAGCCTACAAAGATTTTACACCCTCCAGTAGGCTGAGGCTAAAAAGGATTTGTCACAAGTGGGAGCAGGTATCAAGACAGGCTTTGTCAAAAGCAGAAGCTGATGCTAGAGTGGTACTGGTCAGAACCATTACTCTTCAYGGTCAGTTCCTGTCAGTATTATGCCTTTGAAATAGCCAGTCTTCAAATTAATGTTTTCCAGTGAGCTGGCCTTTGAGAATCAAAGAAACAAACAAATTAATCTGGAAGAACAAGCCTGCCTGAGACACTGATAAATCTGTTATGACAATGTAAGGCTTATTAAACACTGAGAAACATTATTTCCCTAGCCTCTGGGTCAAATGCAAGTTTTAAGGTTAATAGAGAAAATCAACATTTTAAAAATGTCACATAGACTTTTTTTTTTTTTTGTATTCTGCTTTTCACAGGAAATTAGTATACTTAACTCAAAAATATAATGCATGTAGTGAAATCTTATCCAAATATCAGAATACTCTGAGTTATAGGACATAACTGAAATGGCATAACACACATAATGTTAGAGAAACAGGTCAGTCTTCTCATACATTACCATTCACATGTTCTTGAACATGAAACTGGCTTGCCTTCATGAACWCTGGTAGAGTCACACACACTCACACACACCATCTTTGCTCTGACTGGACAGATATGAAAGGTAGGGTATCTAAAGTGTATTGCCAAGGAAATAACTCAGGCTTGATAGAAGGAGTGCTTTGCAGAACAGAAAAGCTAAACAGTACTATTGATTATCGTGATCTAAGCTACAGCAAAAAAAAGGTGGAAGCACAAAGGATGCCTGCACACAGACTTTCCTATCAGAAGCAGCTGCAGCTTCAGCAAAGGTTTTTCTTGCAGTTTATGCTACTAGAGAAGGTTTCCCCTGAGCTGAAAGGTTTTTGCAAGGGGCAATGGTACAACAGCTTGACCTGCTACACTCAGGAGGGTTCCTTGGCCCAAAAACCTCTTGAGTTCACTTCTTCAAGYAAAAAAAATGACTCCCACTGGGAATATTCATAGAAAGAAACAGACTGACACAGATATATATGAAAACCCCCMTACTTCCCACTGGCGCAGCCCGAAGAACTCATCAGGTGGAAAGGAGTTATACAATACCTTATCCTTTGTACTCCACATTCCTCATATTTCTTCCTTTCAAAGCACATTATGTGGCCTAAGTAACTGCCTGATGGTACAGAAATCCTCAGTAACCCACTGAGTGTGATTGGTTGGTCTCCGTCACAGCAAACCGTATTTTCATGCAATAAGAGGAAAGGCCATTAATTTTCTTGTATTAAAAGACATGTGCTTAATGTACCTGCTGCCTCTGTGTGACAGCTAATGGTCCTAGCCAGCTTTAGATTTATCTCAATACTTGAAAGATAAGTTGACTAACAAACTTGAAGGCCCTTCAAATATTTCCCTGGCCAGGAGGAAGTCAGTGGATGCTGTTCTCCAGAGCCTGACAGGCACTAATATGCTGAGAAATACCATGCTGGAAAGCAATCAGTGTCCCTCAAAATTAGGTTTGACCTCCAGGGTTGACAACCTGAAAGCCAAAAAGACTTTTCTCAGTCTCATTCTTGTTACTCTCACTAGTTTCTTTAGTCTCATTAYTCATTCAAAAGATTGTGATCTAGTATCTACTATTAGAGGTAGGGACTATAAACAGAATGGCTCGTACAAAGGATAGTCTTATGACCTAGACTCAGGAGGGAACCTCACTCATGCTCAGGTGGGTGAATCCAGCTCATTCATTTACATGTGCATTTGTTCAGGAAAACCAACTGGCTTTTTTCTTTTCTTTTTTTTTGTCACTGCCACTGAAAGCTCGTCAGTGCACAWAATTAAGTATGCCAGAAATCCCGTAGGTGATCAAGAGCTGAGAGCATATTTTCCAGTGCCATCTCTCACATCACCCGTAGGAAGGATCGCTAGCACAGTGCGTCACCCAGCACACACCTACAGTTCACAGGCACGGGCTGATGAACACCCACACGAGCTAACTTTAAACCAACCGCTTCAGTGCACCAGCCAAGGCAGCACAAAGCTTTGTGGGGGTGAACACCAAGGATATTTTTTCCTGCCCTAGCCAGCAGGTAGGCTTCCCAGCCACAGCTCACCGTCACCATGGTGATGTTCCCAGCCCTCCCCAAAACAGCGAGTTTAAGGCTAATTTGGATAAGCACTAGCTGCAGACATTTTAGTGACTGCAGCATAGCAATGAAGGGCTTTCAGAAAGATTTCAAAATAGCCAGGTAATCTTTATTTTAAATGTCTGCTGACACCATTCCCACTGATGGGAGGACAGGTGCAGGGGGAGTTACAGGGGTGGGCAATGTTCTTCAGTAAGACAAAATGTGAGGGAGTACTGCAAGCAGCCCAGATTGCTGTGACTGATTTAATACAATGGCATAGACAAAACCACARCCATGAGAAATTTATGTCGTCAAATTTTTCTTTATATTCCACTGTTTACTTAGGTGTAGAGCTTCATATGAACATAATTAGTTTCTGTATCTTTTAGGCACCACAGATGAGTTTAATTCTCCTGTTTTTTTATTAATTCCTTATAGTAATAGAAAAAGGAGGTAACTCATTTATATACACAACAATTAAGTTTCTAGACACAAATTAAATTGTTGACACAAGCAAGACGATTATTCATTTTATCTGTATCTGAATTTCTTTCCACATTATCTTCTCTAATCCCAGAATTAGTACATGAAAGCATCAAATAACAGTGTCCTCTCATCCCCTTATCTGTTATACACCTCATTTGTACTCATTGCAGCACTAGAGTACCTCAATAGCCTGAAAAATCACTTGACACTGCACATATTCAGGTTGCATTCCCTTGGAAATAAATAATTCAATGCTACCTATTCCATAAACACCCTCATTGCAATCCCCCAGTAACCATAAGGATAAGCTGCTTTAATTGAAACAGAGACTATGGTCTGTATTATAACTGTATTATGAAGTCTCCTAAGAGGTTTCCTTAGCAGCTATAACAGACTGCTTAAGTAAGCTATTGTCTCTCTTCAGAGTAAAATATTTTWAAATAAAGATTACTTGTAAATGCGTTTCCTTTAAATGATTATACAGCCAGATCAATCACTGTGGTCATGCCCATTGACACTAACCCAGAAGGCAGTATTGCTGCTTTCTCTTTAATWGGGCGCTAAAGACATCTTCCTTTACCCTGTTAGCAAGTCCAAATTAATCTGAAGACTTTGAAGAATGAAAGCTGCTTGGCAGTGTTTCCAAGCGGTCAATCTTCTATACACTGCACTTACAGAAATAAACTCCTTTCCTCACTCACAAGACCAATTGCTCACATACACCATCTCAGCTAGAATTAAGTGAAGAAAAGAGGAGGTGCCATTACACACCAAAGAGCTGCCCCTAAAACTGGGTGTCAAACATGAGCTGTGGACTGCAGGGAATTAATGCATAGCAGCTGATGTACTTTTGAAATTACATCCTTACTTATTGCCTACCTTAAATTTGTAGCTGCAGTTGAGTAATGAATTAATTAATCTCCATGGAAATTCCTGATGCAGTGTTTGTATGTATTTTAAAATCCTGAAAACAAGTGTAGAGATAACKAAAAGGTGATGATACTATAAAATACCAGAATTGACTCAATGTTTAAGAACCAAGAAAATACCAAGATTTATCTTAAGGGTAGAACAAAAATTTGTAACTCTACCAGTTAACAGAAGAACTGAAATAGAATATCAGCTGAAACAGATGAGCTCTCCCTGAAAAACAGATTTTGCTATCACGTGGTTTGTTCAGACATCATGCCTAGTTAATAGTTACTAACCTCTATTATATATACTAATCTCACCTTTGCTACTACTTAAATGTCTTAATTTCTATATTTTTAAATTTTTATTGCACAGCAAATTTCTATAGCTTTACATTGATTTTATGGCCATTTATTTTTAATTTAATGGTTTTTTTCCTTTCATATTATCATGATCAATTAAGATCCTATATTGCCTATACAGTTTTATATCTGCACCTTATTCTGGAGATAAGTCAACAGGCTCAATTTTACAACTAGAGGGTGCTGGTGGACCATAATGTGAGATGGTATGCAAAACTCTTGATGACCTTTAGTTGAAAGAAGAAAAATAAAATAAATCAATTATTACTGCTCAGTAGGACAAGCTAATATATTCCAAGGTAATACAAATATGGCAATATTATCGAGTGTAAGTAAAAAGAAAAGTAATACTTTATAACTGATACTGGTTCATTTTAAATTTAGTTTCAAATTTGCCATTTAACTTTGCTTCTGGCCTTAGTTTTTGTGTTGTAATGAACGAAAAGCCTTTATCTGAACAATATGCATTCCTTTTGCTTCCCTTTGTGTGAGTTGGAAAGCAATTACAGTGTATTATTGATTAAATGTTTTATGATAAAACACAAAAGCCGTCAAGTAAGCAGGAAAGCAAGAAGGAACAAAGATTAATTTAACAAYAAAATCTATAATTGAGATTTTACAGATAGAATGTGGACATTAATTACAGATAAATCATTTAATAAGAGTTCTAACAAGAAATTTATCTTCCAAAATTCATATAATTTCCAATACAAGGTAATTWTTTTTTTTTTGCCTTCCAGTACTGTAAGAAAAAATACAAGTATGAGAATAAATAATGTCTATAAATATAGCATTCTGTATGTATAAAAGTTCCCCCTCCCTTCCTTCCTCTCTTTCACTTATCCTTATTGCTTCTTAGAGTCTCTGACAATTCTGCAACTACCTCCAACTAACAGGAATATTACAACTTTTTAATGAGACCTTAAAGATATCATTTCTCTCAGCCCCCATTCATCACAGCTCAATACCATCTGGGATTTGTCTTCCATTTCTCTAGATCAGAAAGAAATCCAAAGGACAAACTGTGGCCACCTGGAAGAGCAGCTGCCTGAAGCCTCCATGACAGTGACCAGAAGCTGGTGGAGGGCACGACACCATCCTGCGAAGAGCAGATCTCAACCAAATACGAATCGTTGCAGCCAGCCCATTGATCACAAAGTGGCAGTGGTTCAAAAAGCCTGGGCATGCAGGTGTACCAGATGTTCAGTGAAGCCAGTGTGGCATGCCATTCCTCTTCTTATATTCCTACTTCTCAGCAGGATTGCTGTATGTGGACAACATTCTCGTGGTGGGCAACTCCCAAGGGATTCAACAGTCCACCAGTCCACTTATGGCCTGCATTGATTCAACACATCCTAGACATGCCAGAAATGTAGTACAAGGGGGAAAGCTTCATGTATTTAAACCAGTCCCTTCCTTGCCTGTGAGGGTCAATAGTCCAACTTCTTTTTATGAACTACAAAATTAGTGAGAACTGCCATTTTTTCATATTGTACCTAGCTGTAGTGCCCCAGCTTTACAAGCAGAGATGTATTTCTGTATGGMACGCTCTCACGGGCTGAGGCCAAGTCCCTGTTCTCAGGAAACACACTCTATTCAGGTGCCAACCTACATCCAGCTCTCCTTTGGCTGCGTTTTTACTCATGACTTGCCCTCATGAAGGGATGTACCCTGGTGTCACAGGAGACCACAGCTCCTACCCTATGCACACCAAGGAACTCACGTTTAGGGAGTTTTCCATCCCTCTGGAAAATGGAAAGCAGTCTCCTGCCAGAACTGTTTCATGTATAGGACCTTATTCTCCAGAACACAACAGCCAAACCAATCAGTTGGTGAGGGCAGCCAATAATTAACATATAGGCATACCAGGGCTCATSAGAGGCTCAGCCCCTTAGACCTTCRGACACGTTTTCACTCCTACTGGTGGCTACGTGCTAGCTAGCACGCAAACAGAAAAGGTATAATTAGTGGTRAAAATGGGATTTCATCTTGACAACTGGTTTGTTTAAAATGAAAGCTTTCAAGGGGATAACAAAWCAAATCAAATAAGAAGTGTCCAATGCAACAACAAAAAAATTGTGACTTAGATACTGCAGGCTTGCCAGATGCTATAGAAGCTGAGCCAGAGGACACRGTAATGCAAAAATGTGTAACAAACCTGATACTGAACTGCATCTTGTGATGCCCCYCTAAAACTCCTGATACTTTTAGTCTAAAAAGTGGCCTGTTTGTTTTTTATGTACTATATCTAGCTTAACTGGTGAGGAAACAGCAGTTAAAATCTGGCCCARTGTTTTATTGTTAGCATATTCTAACACACTTAAGTGTGCCTGCTTCATGGACACAGTTGTTGGGGTTTTTTTTTTTTCCTAAATGAGCTGATTTTACAAAATTCGTAGTTCTCTGATCTTTATTTTTTCACATAGACAAGATCAGCTTATTTGATGGTGCCTTCACTTACAAAGTCTAAATAATAATTATTACACCTTAGCTTTTTCTTCAACAGTGYCAGCTGAAATTATACATGAACAAGATGTTTGGTGGGTGKTTTTTTTTCCCCTCTGGAAGTCAGCAGAAAAGCTGTTAAATACTACATATACTAGAATACTGATTTTAATAATACTCAACGTGCACATCAGTTTCAATGTCAGAAACACTTTAAATTTCTGTATGTTACTAATAACTGAAGAGCATTATTCAGCTTTATAATGTAGTAGGCATTGTCCTTCATATATATTCCTAAAGCAGGATGTATGCTGTACATTTATATACAAAGTTGGTCAGAGCACAGACATTGCAGTGTCATGCTTTCATTCAGATTTCAGATGCCATATGTTCAGTACAATCGCACGGCATCAAGATGCAACATATTGCTTTGCAAATGCAAATAATTTCACACAGTGGCCTTCATGACTGGGAAGGGATAATGAAATGGGCTGTATTTTACACATGTGAAAAAATAAAGATTTATCATAAATATATGGACCAGTATATGACGTTGAAGAACAAGAAGCAAAAAGGAAACAGTGCTCTTGCATAAAGATCAATTCTCTTTGCTGCTGATGGAATGACAGGCTTGGGAGGAGGAGGCTTCTTGTTGTTCTTGGCTTGAGATTTCCCGAGCCCATTGTTCACTTCAATGGGCTTCCCATAACAGTCATAATTTGATAATTCAAAATCCCTTGGCAAGCTTCCAACGATGCTGAAATCATTGGATCTCAGATCAGATTTCGAAGTGCAAACTTTTTTGCATCTGGTCTCACCAACCTATGAAATAAAGAGTGAGGGGAATCATGAACCAATCACCACAACTCATTAGCAAACTTCATGCAGCTGCTAAAGAACACTGCAAACAAACATATAGGAAATTACTTGCTGATAGGGATACATTACATCAGATTAATTTGTGGAATGGTTATGTTATGAAGTACTTAAGGATGATCAGTCAATCATATAAACTAATCCAAACATTCTTAATTGTGTAATTTTTCATGCACAAGGTGCCTCATGCTCTGCAATCTGCTATATCAGACTTCTTMATTTTAAGATGACAGAAGGGGAGAGAATATTTCTGAGTGGAGTATTTTTGGATATTGGCTCTGTGCTGATGAACCTGCAGGCCCGATACTATTCAATACCTGCATTTTTCTGAGCTCTGAAAGCCACAGTCAGAATTAACCCTAGAATTCAATGTTTGATTAAATTAATTTCAGTCTGTTCTGGTTCTAAAGAACTGCCAGGTCAGGATTCTACACCTTACCCTAGGGTGACCACCTCGCATGGTGAGAAGCACTTTCTTTGTCTCTGCAAAGCTTGGTGCCTCTCTAAAGACAAGTAACACAGATTAACACTGCTCTCAGCACTGCAGAATGTTTAACTGGGAWATCTAAATTCAACAACAGAATTCCTGTGTTTCCTAAAGCTCCTTTAGTGTGCTTGGGGATCAAGCAATCCTTTTTTTTTGTGAGGGAAAAAAAGGTTCCTATATTTCTTTCTGTGGATTTTACAAAGTTTTTATTTCAGATTCAACACATCATTAGGAGAACCAACCCCACACTGCGCAGGGAGCTTGAAGTGATTTAGAGACTATTTGCAAGGCACTGTACTTTGTGACCTGGGAGGGTAAATCTCTCCCAGACTTTCATTTCAGTTGGACTACCCAGGAAAGCAGGGGGAAACAAAGAGGAAAAAATAGTATAGACAATGCATTKGTTCACATATATAACTTGTGTGTTAGTTGAAAAAATTCTAGTTCACAAATCAGGCTATACACATGGGCAACTGACATAAAAGAAAGTTTTACTAYGGCTTCCTGGAGCTATTGGTCCACYAAAAACTKGTTAATCCAAAAGCTGCCTGCCCCTTCTTACCATTAGCCTGTCTTTCTCCACAATGCCTTCAGGTATTTCACCCTCATCTCTCTCCACCTCTGATTTTCTGCAGTCTTTGGCTGATAGATTAGGGTATTTGCGTGGCCATATTTTGTAACTACTAAAATCATAATAATAATGTAATACAGTACCAGGTTTATAGATTAATGAAAAAAAWTCTGAAGAATATTATTAGCTTCCCTATGACACTTGAAAAGTTATCCTGGGTGGAAAGAACTGAGGCAATCAGTAAGACACCAAAACTTTGATTGGGGCTCTTACTATCACTATGGATATAAAAGTTGAGTCTAGTGAAAGGTGGAAGAGAAGCATGGCATATTGCTTCTGCAAACAGTGGATACAYCTCCCCAAATTTGGAAGACTTGTATTTCTCATGAAAGCATTACATTTTGAAACTGATGCACTAAAATGGTTCCAGCCAGGGTTAATTTTTGCAGTAGCCAGGAGGTGTCATGGCCAGGGCACAGAGATTATTCTATACTACCTCTAGTCATTGCCAGGGCTGGGGAAAGGGATTCTCTTCTAGAGCAAATAGATTCCTTCTGGTTGACAAAATATGACAGTGGGAGTAATCCAATATTGTCTGTTGTCAGGTAATTTTTCCATGTGAGCCATTTATTTTCTTACACCTTTTGTAATTAATATTGTTGCTGTTATCTGTTTGTTTTCTTATCTCATTGATGTTTCCAGTAATTTTGTCTTATCTCAACCCATGATTTTTACCTTTTGTGCTTCCWTGTGGAGTGAGGAGGTGGAGCAGTGCATGGTTTTAGGGTTTTAGTGGGAGTACTGAATTGGACAATACCATTCCTAAACCACACAAAAATCAAGATTCAAGGTWATAAAAAGGAAAAACAAGACAGCTGTTCCCTGATGGCAGGACAAAACTATACATAAAAATTTCTTGCAGCTATCTCTCAGTCTCCAAAGACCTGACAGTGTTCATTACTGGAGAAGCAGGGGCAAACTGGATGGTAAGGTGGTGACTAAGACACACATACACATGATTATGTGACCCTGGGTGACACGATGCTCTTATTAACTGATCCGAGGTGTTGCTTCCAATCGGATCACACCCAATGACATAGGTGATAAAGATATAAAGCAGACCCTTGTAAAATGAMAAGGGCACTTGTAGGACTGGGTGAATGTTAGCTGAAGAGTCACAGGTATATTATAATTTTTCCATGGTCAAACCTAGTACGATTTAGTAAGGCTACTACAAGAAATAGAATCATGTAAGAAATTATAAGCCTCCTTTTGCATCTGAAAACTTGTAGTCCATTCCTCATACCAGCAGCAATACATTGTAAAAGTCAGTGACACTAATTGAAGCCTAAGTTTTCTCATTTACAGCACAGAATATTCCTGCTCCATCTGCAGTATCTAGAGAGCTCCCCTAAAGGCTGTTACAAGTCRGTTCTCATTCCCATTCAGGACTGAGAGTGGATTCTAGGTCACGTCTGCCTTATAATCAGAGAACTGTTCACAGCATGTTCACACAAARCTTTGCTTAGTTCAGTGGCAGCTGGAGTACTGATTTATCAGGGTGACACAATTTTACTTGTACAATCAACCTGGCCCAAATTTTTCTTTAATATGTTACTTTTGAAAATAATTTCATCCATTTCCTTGTCTCTGACATTCTTCAATTTACTACAGTCAGCTGCTGTCTAACCATAATTGTAACTTTCTTCTCATATATGTCTTTAACTCTTCAAAGTTTCTGTAGTTTTAATCTAAATTCACTCCAGTTGACCTATARCTTTCCTAAATAATGTGCAATAATATAAAGTATATACAATATGTATAATTATCTGTTTTTTATTCATTTTGTCTTGTTTTGTGCTAGAAGCCTAACAATAATCCTGACAATGTCCCTGATCTTCCTCATTTTACACATTTATTGCAAAAAAGTTTTACTAAAGGCTACAGGAACCTTTCTGTAAAAAAGGATATTGCAGGATATTAAAGGACTTGATTTTGGACTACTACACGGAAGATGTGCAAAGAAAAGTCAAATGTTGTTAAATGCTATATCCTTTTGACTTCATCCTGACACAGAAAATATTTTATATCATTTACCTTATCCTGCCCTGTGGGGCAGCGTCATGACCTGTGGGCCAGACCAAACCTGCAGGGTGCTCTACCAGATTTATGGCTTTTCCCCAGCAGCGAGTGGGAAGCAGCTGTTTAGGAAGGAAAGGTTTCTGGGATAATGTAGGGCCACCCTACATTCCCAAGGGATGTGGGCAGCCACTCTTTGCCCTTCTGGCCTGGAGGTGGGGGGGTCATGGAAAGCACAGGAAGGTGATGGCTCTTGGGGCTTGGCCCAAAGCACAAACCTAGTTCCCTGTTTCTTCCAGGACTGGGCYACCTTGTCTAGATTTGGTATGATGGACAGGACACCTGTCTTTTGATGAACAGCTCAGAAGTACCTAAAAATGACCCCTAGAATCCAGAAGGCTCCTTGTGATGATCCTTTCTCACCTTTTACAAAATTCAGGCTGACTGGTGCTCGCTGCCAAGCTCAGCACCTGCTGCTGCTCCAGAGCTGCAGCACGTGTGCCTCTGCAGGAAGGCTTTGGTTGCAGAATTAGGGGAATAATGTGAGAAGTAAATGGGGGAAGAGAACAAAGAATAAGTGCTGCCTTCAGAGTGCAGGCAGGAGTGATTAATTCCCCATCTCTGCCTCCACTGCTTCTGGTACTCCTCCTCACTTTCCACATTTACTGCTCAAAATATATTTTCCTTTAAAAACCCCCAGGATAGAGAAGTTTTTCCATGAMCTTGTTCCCCACAAACATATGTACCTTCTTTCTAACCTGAATTTATTTGCATTGACTATTCAGACACAAGACATGACTATAGTCCGATCAACTGCTGGTACTTAGAGATGGYAACAAATCTAACCTGATTTTTCATAATTCTGGTGACGTAACCAGGCTGACACATGAAGCCAAGAAAAATGCTCTTAAGAGTTTCTTACCTTCACATCATTACATCTTTCAGCCTGATAATACTTAAAAAAAGTTATACTCAGTTAGATGAAATCAATAAACACAAAGATCAACTTTAATTTCACTGACCCATTTATTAGCTAATATGGGGGTGAATTATGAATAATACTAAAGATAATTATTACTTAAAAATAAAAATTATTAGCCAGCCCTGTAAGCKATGCAATATTCTCCACTGATTGATGTCAGGCTTATAATTATTCATGTTATGCCACTTAGCTTTTAAAAATACTGGCACAAAGTTAGCTTCTTGCTGTATTTTGGAACCCTCCCAGTTTTAAAGGTTTTTTTTAAAAATCAGCATTAATGTTTCACAGCACTCACAGACCAGCTCTGTAAAAAATYCAAGATGCAACTTAAACTGAAATCTTGACTGTAAAATGTCTAACTTCAATAGTTACTGTTTAACATTCTCAACAGCTACTGTGAATGAGAGGTATTTAGTCCTCGGACTTAAAATACCTGGCTTTTTCCCAAAGATAGAGCAGAATATTTGTTCAACACTTTTCCCTTTTCAGCTAATTATTGATACTTACAGCACCTCTACCTAGTATAGTACCATTACTCTTCTTACTAGGTTTTGTATTCTTGCTGTATATGCAAAGTAACTTCCTATTGCCCTCAATTATGCTGAGCATATATCTCTTTTCTTACCTATACCTATTAASTACAATTATTTTCTTGATATCAGCTTATATTAATTGCTATCGCCTCCCATTTACCAGTGAGAAGAAAAGAGAAATGCTTGAAGGTATTCTAGTTTTAAATCTTTGGGGAGTTTGTTTTCAATTGTGCTGTTTGTTAGGTTTTGGGGATTTTCTGAAATTAGTATAGCCTCACTTCTGGTCTGTAGCTG